AGTTTTTCTTCTCCACATGGTTGATTAATGGTTTCAACCGCACCCAGCACGTCCAGAATTCTTTAACAAGTTTCCACCATCAGGGACTTCGATCAAATCTGTTTCATACCTCTTCTCCCGCTAGAAGGGACCGCTTCTTCACGGGAGATAACAACAGGTGTGGTAACAGAATAGCCACAGGGACTAACAACAAGAGCAAAGGGGGTTATTGGAAGGGCAGCAAGGGGAGGTTCTTCCGAAACAAGGCTAAAATCTTCTTCACCGTCACGTCTTTGGGCGAAGAGTCTATCAACAAGACTTGAAGGGGGGATTACCATAATGGTTAATATCTTCATCTTCAGAGATGTCCAAATGGACACTCTCGGGTTCATCAACGAGATTGAAAGGCACGGAGCCTGAAGGTAGGTCTTGAGGAATGGTGGCTTCATCATCTAGAACCACGTATCTTCTAACTCGTGGCTTCCTCACAAAAGAGTCATCTTCATTATCCTCTACTTCTTCAAAGTCACGAGCTTCAGCATTCTTACTCTTTGAAGAGGACACGCTCAGAATATATTCCTACACAGTGCTGACAAAAAGCCTAGCAGTAGAAACAGAAGCAGAGTTGATGCCACGAGCAGCAAATCTAAAAAAACAACAAAAAAGGTTAGAGTAAGAGAAAACGCAATAAGGTGAAGTCATGGTAAAATAAAATACCGTGGGTCTTCACTTTCCACCCAAACTTTTGGGAGAGAAATTTCCATGATCTCTGTTCCATGGGGGAACCGGTCAATATTTTTTCTACCAAATCACGAAAGTTAGGAAGTTCTTCGAAAAATTTCATGATTGCTGAAAAGTAAAAAGAAACACGTGTAAGCAAGATTGAAACCTTGATAGAAGCATAAAAGTAGAGAATAATACTCACGTGTAAAGTTTCACTTCTCAGGGAAGGGCATGTTTTCGTCACCCATTAAGTCATGAGTGGGAACATCTACGAACCGGATATACCAGCCACAGTCACAATCAACCTCGAGGCTGACTAAAACTCTCTTGCTTCTCTCCACAAGGGAGAAAACACCTTAGTGAAAGAGCTTCGGGGAGTATATATGGAGTAAGTGTTAGAAAGTAAAAGGAGCTGAGACAAGGGTTGACAAATAACAACGGCAAGCTACTACCCACCACATAATCCGACCTATTTGACCAAGACAGACATTAAAGTAACAATAAAACTTAATGATTACTAGGTCAATAGGTGGTTTGAATTCTAAGATAAAGGGTAGGTGTAAACAAACTAATAATCTTCAGGATAAGAGGGTATTCAATTATCAGCACTATGAGCTACCACTGGTAAATTAGGTTTCCAGTTGCATTTACGAGGAACTAGGAAAGAAGGCCAGCAGTGATCAAAGTAGGATAATGATCGGCAAGGTTAAGTGATGCTATGGAAGAAACCTGTTTTCTCATAACTTCACAATCTGATATAAAAGAAAATTCTTGAGGAATAATTTCAGACATAACAGGCTCCTGCAAGGTTTCATTATGGTCTTTCCCTCTAGAGGAGGGATCTAGGAATTGTTGGAGTTCTCACTCTAGAAGAAGAAGGTATTGCAGTGTTTTCGGAGAAGAGGCAAAGCTACGGCTAGATAAAGAACCTAAGCTACGAAGTCTACCGCCTCTTCTACTCCTAGTTGGGGTAGAAGAGGGAGGGAGTTTATCAACAATAACTACTTTACAATGGTTTGATGATGAAGAAGGATTTGAAGAACGGAAAGTCATCTTTAATGATGAAAACACAAAGAAAAAAATTGCGGGAAGAGTGGGAATATGAACACAAGGAAGAAGAAGAAATTTTTGAGTGGTATGTGATATGGTATTTATAGAGAAGAACAGTCATTATGAACTGTCATCATGAACAGTCACTTCGAACTGACGCAGCCGCAGGAAACCCTAAAAAGATGCTATAAATTGTAGGGCCAATTATAATGGGACACATGTCTTGAACATTAAATGAAAAGGACGTACGTCTCATCGTTTCTGAAGAAAGCATTATGATAGTTGAGAAAAGGCGTCAAGATATTCCTGCCATAAATGAACTTACCACTTCCCGAATATTCAGTTGAAAATATTCAAAACGTGGGGGGATTATCTTTATTGGTGGAAAAAAGGCATGACACGTAGATTGATAGTATGATGATAGATGGCATCCATATCGGGTCAATAAAGAAAGATGATGAGGCATGAATAAAATACCCACAGTATTTAATATAAGAAGGTACCGTACCTTACATCTGGGAAAGAAGAAATAGAAACGAGATGCATAAAGACCATAAAGGGGTAGATTCATGAATCAATTATAAATATAGAAAGGGAATCGACATTAACCCTGATTATGCGTGATCACCTATTATTACCATAATTGTTATGAGTAGATTTAGTAACGGGCAATTAATACAGTTAATGTTAGTAACGGGTGAGAATTAAATAAGGAAACTGTTACAGCTATGTACCCTTATATAAGGACCCTTAACTTATTTTGTACGATCATCTGATATTTTCAATTATATGCAATCGATCTTTTATTTTTACTTGATTGAAGATTCCAATCCATAATTGTAGGAGAAATCAGCGATCAACAATAAGCTTTATTTCCTTCATTTAGCACTTCTAAGTGTTTGTTTTATTCTTGCTTTTTTGGAAAAGTGAAATAAATTAGGTTATCAGAAACCCGATTTTTCTTTAATATTGACTTCCGCCACAGAACTATTTTTTGGTTAAACAATTCACATAAAAATCCCGTGAAAGATGAACAAAATATAATTCCGCTGAAGAAACAAAGGACGGGGCTGAAGTAAAATTCTTTTTTTTTTTTAAATTATATATAGGGGATAGGGGAAGGAAAAATAGGGACGGGAATTACAAAGTGGGAAATCGAACTCACTAATAAAGTGAAAATTCAGGTAAGTAACAAAATGAGCTACTTAGATTCTCCGAAGTAAATATCTTGAGATTTGTGACATATTTTTTACCCTCTGTTCATCTTTGTATGCAATTACAGCTGTCCTTTTTTTTTTTTTTTTTTGTGAAAAATAAATTAAGCCACCATAGTGGTGGAGGGGTTTAAGCGTTGACCTGCAACCTGTGTATTATCAAACATTGAAAAAGCGAAAACATGAAGAAAAAGGGCATAATACCTTATCTCTCCAAATACAAAATGTTAGTTGGGCATAACCAACATTTTGAACTAGTCATGCTAAGCTTACAGAATACCCATGATGTCAAACTTCGTTAGGTTAATTTACAAACCGGAACAAGTAAATTAAATCATTTGGAAAAAATAAATCGGATGTCTTACCCTACTGATTTATTTGAGTGGCACTAAATAATGTTATTTACCAATTGATGCCGAGGCAGTGCACAGCTTTGAGGTTTCATTGAGCGATCCGATCCGTGTAATGCTGGGCTTCTTACTGGAGTTTGAACTCATTGACCATCTGCAACTCTGATTATATCTATATGGAGCTATGAAATAATCTGGATAACCAACATTTCTTCATTCTAATTAGCAAGGCAAAGAAGCCATAGCAAGGGAGATGGAGAATACCAACAGCAAAATACCTACAATTTCACATTTTTGAGCAAGCATGAATAGCACAATAAGCAAATTTGACTACTCTGCATATACTGATTTCTCGTATGAGGTCGTACACATACCAAAGGGGAGCATATTGAGATGACAAATCTAGAAAGGGATAAGGCCACCTGTTGCAACAAGAGTTAACAGTTTCAGTAAACAACATAAGCCTATATGAGTTAGATGTCGCATAATAGTAATCATGATCAATTGCAAATATACCTCATTGAGACAAAAATATGGAGGATCCACTGGAAAATGACAAAGACACATGTCCAGAGCACAAAATATGTTACACGGAAGAAAGGGAACCGCTGGAAAGGAAGCAAGACAGAGTATTAAATATATGCACAACACGTAAAGCTTAGATAGTACGGACTTTAAAACTTACTAGACGGTTTAGAAACACATCACCGAGAAGGCAAACAGCATTGACAGAATGCATACAAACAGCCAGCTGCAGTAACAGGTAGACTATCAGCTTATGGTACAAATGCAGAGAGAGGGGAGGGCGGGCCACATGTAAATCAGGTATAACCTATGTTCATAACACGATACTAACTAATCATGATTTCTACATGTAGGTGTGAATACGACCATTCCACTGGTTCATAAACGAATGAAACTACTATCTACTAGCTATTCGTATGTAGTAGCTTGTCTTCTTTCAAATGGTGAGACGGAAGAACCACCAAAGAAATACTCTAGTGAAGTTTTCTTGTAAATGTGGATCATGGAAGTTCGATGTTAACTTTTTCCCTTATTTTGAGAACTGAGCCAAAGTCAATAGTAAAAGCACGACACACATGCACACTGAGGTTAAACTTTGTGGACTTCAAAGAGCACTTAGCGGCAATTGACAATGAATTTACTCTATCTAGCTTTTGATGATTCATGCTTCTAGAAAATATAAGAAGAAAGTCAGAAACAAAAAGAAAAAACTAAAAATTGAAATAACTGAAACTAAACTAAACTAAACAATCAGGGGGAAAGAGATCAAGATGGCAGGGAAAAAATGCACTTGTCATCTTTTGATGGCAAGAAGTGGCTAGTTAATAAGCTGAAGATTACAACAGTTGGATAGATATGTATAACAACAACAACAACAACCCAATAAAATCCCACCAGTGGGGTCTGGGGAGGGTAGAGTGTACGCAGACCTTACCCCTACCCCGGAGGGGTAGAGAGGCTATTTCCGGAAGACCCTCGGCTCAGAGACGAAAATTCCGGTCCTTGCACTAAATGAATGCTCAAGCTTGATTCCATCAATACTTTTACAGATTTGAATTGAAGCAATACATAAAAGACAAACACAATCAAGCAAAACTTTATTGAACTAAAAGAAGATTAAGATAAGAAAGCAAAAGTTCTAATACTTACAAAATGTAATCTGTAATTTTTGTCAGTGAGGAATGGGTAGATAACGAGCCAAAAAACACAATCCGTAAGAACAACTGCACCTGCAGTCATCTACAAATTATTTGGGGGATGGGAAAGAATTAGCCAAGTATCCATAGAATGCAGCACGAATAAGCACTAAACCACTTTTATGAATGTGCCCAACTCGATATTACATCACGACATTTACTTAATTTAGGAGATGTAATATCATAATTGTTAGAATAGTCATGTAAATAGGAGTAAATAAATAACCCTAATCCAATATATATTAGGAGTAGGACATGTTATGTGTGTATATATATAGGGCTCATTGTAACATATGTATATACATCAATAATATATTTTCTCCCGTGCTTTCTCACATGGTATCAGAGCTACGGTGTGAAATTTATCGTTGTGCATCATTCCAGCGATATCCGGGAAGAAAGAACTCAGTCACCGTGCAATTTTCCGGTGACCTAAGTGACTTATTGCGTCAAAGTCACTAATTAACAGTGTTGTGCAAAATCCAACACCACCACAAGGTTCCCAAGAGAGATCCGACCAAACCCCAGAAAAAATCACCGGAAAATAGCCAGCCACGCGCCGTCACGTGCCTGTCGGAACTCTGCCGCCGGCGGCGCGTCTGTCCCACGCGCCGGCGCGTGAGGCCTCTTCCGGCCATTTTTCGGCTTCGCTTCTTCAGGACAGTTGGATCGCCCTGCAATTCCGAGCCTGTCCATATTTTTATTTTTTAATTCCGACCACTTTGAGTTTTTCCGGCGACTACACTGATTTTTCCGGCAGCTACAGTACTTTTCCGGCAAACACAGTGTTTTCTTCATCTGTCTCAGAGAATTTTCAGTTGATTCTTTTTTGTTATTTAGTGATAATCCAACCATGTCTTTGGGAGTCGATGCTTTCGGGTCTAGAAACCCGAGTTCTGGCAGTTCCGGTGTTATGATTACCTCAGAACCTTTAATGGGAGGTTCAAACTACTTAGATTGGGCTTCATCTGTCGAGTTGTGGTGTAAAGGTCAAGGAGTTCAAGATCATTTAACAAAAAAGGCTAGCGAAGGTGATGAAAAGGCCAAAACACAGTGGGAGAAGGTCGATGCTCAGTTATGTAGTATCCTGTGGCGATCTATTGATTTCAAGTTGATGCCCTTGTTCCGTCCATTCCAGACATGTTATTTAGTTTGGGAAAAGGCTCGTAATCTATACACTAATGACATATCTCGTTTCTATGATGTAATATCGCGAATGACAAGCTTGAAGAAACAGGAATTAGATATGTCTACTTACTTTGGACAAGTTCAGGCAGTCATGGAAGAATTTGAGACGTTGATGCCAGTTTCTGCTAGTATTGAAAAACAACAAGAGCAACGACAGAAGATGTTTCTAGTTCTTACACTCGCTGGACTCCCTAATGACCTTGATTCAGTACGTGACCAGATTTTGGCTAGTCCAACCGTCCCCTCAGTTGATGAATTATTCTCTCGATTACTTCGCCTTGCTGCAGCACCTAGTCACCCAGTGAGCTCATCACAGACACTTGACTCATCTGTCCTCGTATCCCAATCAGTGGACAATCGGGCATCTCATACTATGGAAAATAGACGAGGAGGAGGTCGTTTTGGAAGATCTAGACCCAAGTGCTCCTATTGTCATAAACTTGGACACACTCGTGATGTATGCTATTCTTTACATGGCCGCCCAACCAAAAATGCTTATGTTGCTCAGACTGAGACTACAGGTAACCAGGGATTTTCTTTATCTGAAGGGGAGTATAATGAGTTCCTTCAGTATCGAGCAAGTAAGCAGACATCTCCACAAGTAGCTTCTGTTGCTCAGACTAATACTTCTGTTGCTGGTAATTCTTTTGCTTGTGTTTCCCAGTCTAGTCCTCCTGGACAATGGGTTGTGGACTCAGCCGCTTCTGATCATATCTCTGGTAATAAATCACTTTTGTCAAATATTGCGTATTCACAGTCTCTTCCCACTGTTACTTTAGCCAATGGGTCTCAAACCAAAGCAAAAGGAGTTGGACAAGCGAATCCCCTACCCTCTGTCACTCTAGATTCCGTTCTCTATGTCCCTGGCTGTCCTTTTAATCTTGCATCTGTTAGTCGTTTGACTCGTGCCCTCCATTGTGGTATATATTTTATTGATGATTCTTTTATTATGCAGGACCGCAGTACAGGGCAGACGATTGGAACAGGACTTGAATCAGAAGGGCTTTACTACCTTAACTCCCTAAAATCCTCCAAGGCATGTCTAGTTACAGATCCTCCGGACCTAATTCACAGACGTTTAGGACATCCAAGCTTATCCAAGCTTCAGAAGATGGTGCCTGGTTTGTCTAGTTTATCCACATTAGAGTGTGAGTCATGTCAGCTCGGGAAACATACCCGAGCCTCCTATCCTCGTAGTATTGAGAGTCACGCAGAGTCTATTTTTTCTTTAGTTCACTCTGATATATGGGGTCCTAGTAGAGTCAGTTCAACCTTGGGATTTCGTTATTTTGTTAGTTTTATTGATGATCATTCAAGATGTACTTGGATTTTCTTAATGAAAGATCGTTCTGAGTTGTTTTCTATATTCCAGAATTTTTGTGCTGAAATTAAAAATCAATTTGGTGTTTCTATTCGCACTTTTCGCAGTGATAATGCCTTAGAATATTTATCCTCTCAATTTCAGCAGTTTATGACTTCTCAAGGAATTATTCATCAGACCTCTTGTCCTTATACCCCTCAGCAAAATGGGGTTGCAGAGAGAAAGAATAGGCACATCATTGAGACTGCTCGCACACTTCTCATTGAATCTCATGTTCCGCTGCGTTTTTGGGGCGATGCAGTTCTCACAGCTTGTTATTTAGTTAATCGGATGCCTTCCTCTCCCATCCAGAATCAGATACCGTATGCAGTATTGTGTCCCCAATCACCCGTATACTCTGTTCCCCCTCGTGTTTTTGGGAGCACTTGTTTCGTTCATAACCTAGCCCCTGGGAAAGATAAGTTAGCTCCTCGTGCTCTCAAGTGTGTCTTCCTTGGTTATTCTCGTGTTCAGAAGGGATATCGTTGTTACTCACTTGATCTTCGTAGGTACTTTATGTCCTCTGACGTCATATTTTTTGAGTCTAAACCTTTCTTTACCTCTTCTGACCTTTCTGACCCCCTTGATATATCTGAGGTCTTACCTATACCGACCTTTAAGGAGTCTACTATAGCTCCTCCTTCACCTTCCGCTATAGAAGTCTTATCCATTCCAACCGTTGAGGAGTCTAGTGTGGCTCCTCCTAGACTCCCTGCCACAGGAACACCACTTTTGACATATCATCGTCGTCCGCGCCCAGCATCGGGTCCAGCTGATTCACGTCCTGCACCCGAACCTGCTAATACTGCGGACTTGTCTCCTCTTAATCAACCGATTGCACTTCGGAAAGGTATACGGGCCACCCTTAATCCTAATCCCCATTATGTCGGTTTGAGTTATCATCGTTTGTCATCACCCTATTATGCTTTTCTATCTTCTTTGTCCTCTGTTTCCATCCCGAGGTCTACAGGTGAAGCATTTTCTCATCCAGGATGGCGACAGGCTATGATTGACGAGATATCTGCTTTACATACGAGTGGTACTTGGGAGCTCGTCCCTCTTCCTTCAGGTAAATCTACTGTTGGTTGTCGTTGGGTGTATGCAGTCAAGGTTGGTCCGGATGGTAAGGTTGATCGTCTTAAGGCTCGTCTTGTTGCCAAAGGATATACTCAGATATTTGGGCTCGATTACAGTGATACCTTCTCTCCTGTGGCTAAGATAGCATCAGTCCGCCTTTTTCTATCCATGGCTGCTGTTCGCCATTGGCCCCTCTATCAGCTGGACATTAAGAATGCTTTTTTACACGGTGACCTTGAGGATGAAGTTTATATGGAGCAACCACCTGGGTTTGTTGCTCAGGGGGAGTCTCGTGGCCTTGTATGTCGCTTGCGTCGGTCACTTTATGGTCTAAAGCAGTCTCCTCGAGCCTGGTTTGGTAAGTTCAGCACAGTTATTCGAGAATTTGGCATGATTCAGAGTGAAGCTGATCACTCTGTATTCTATCGGCATTCTGCCTCGAGTCTCTGTATTTATCTGGTGGTCTATGTTGACGACATTGTTATTACCGGCAATGACCAGGATGGTATTACTAAATTGAAGCAACATCTCTTGCAACACTTTCAGACTAAGGATCTGGGCAAACTAAAGTATTTTCTGGGTATTGAGGTCGCTCAGTCTAGCTCAGGTGTTGTGATCTCACAACGAAAGTATGCCTTAGATATTCTTGAAGAGACAGGAATGACAGGTTGTAGACCGGTTGACACTCCGATGGATCCGAATTCTAAACTTATGCCAGGACAGGGGGAACCTCTTAGCGATCCTGCAAGATATAGACGGTTGGTTGGTAAATTAAATTACCTTACAGTGACAAGACCTGATATTTCCTTTTCTGTGAGTGTTGTGAGTCAGTTTATGGATTCTCCGTGTGATAGTCATTGGGATGCAGTTGTTCGCATTCTTCGGTATATAAAATCAGCTCCAGGCAAAGGTTTATTGTTTGAGGGTCGAGGCCATGAGCAGATCGTTGGATACTCAGATGCTGATTGGGCAGGATCACCTTCTGATAGACGTTCTACGTCTGGATATTGTGTCTTGGTAGGAGGAAATTTGGTGTCCTGGAAGAGCAAGAAACAGAATGTGGTTGCTCGGTCTAGTGCAGAAGCAGAATATCGAGCAATGGCTATGGAGACATGTGAGCTAATTTGGATCAAACAGTTGCTCAAGGAGTTGAAATTTGGTGAGATTAGTCAGATGGGACTTGTGTGTGATAATCAAGCTGCTCTTCATATTGCGTCAAATCCAGTGTTCCATGAGAGAACTAAACACATTGAGATTGACTGTCACTTTGTTAGAGAAAAGATACTCTCGGGAGATATTGCTACAAAGTTTGTGAAGTCGAATGATCAGCTTGCAGATATTTTCACCAAGTCCCTCACTGGTCCTCGTATTAACTACATATGTAACAAGCTTGGTACATATGATTTATATGCACCAGCTTGAGGGGGAGTGTTAGAATAGTCATGTAAATAGGAGTAAATAAATAACCCTAATCCAATATATATTAGGAGTAGGACATGTTATGTGTGTATATATATAGGACTCATTGTAACATATGTATATACATCAATAATATATTTTCTCCCGTGCTTTCTCACAATAATGAAGGTACACGACATATGATAAAAGATGAACCTCCAGAAAATTTACTTGTAGGATTGAACAGTGAAAAAACGCTAATTAGAGGCAACTACGCAGGATGAAAAGAACTAGATAATCCAACATCTATGACGAACGTGAGAAATTATAGAAGATTCTATATACCGCATGGGAGTAGATAGACTTTCTGCGACTCTGCCCCAACAGCGAAAGAAAGAAAAGATAAAGGAATTTGCATGTCCGGTTGTTGTTGCAACAAAGGTAAGATAAATTGATCTAGAGAGAACATGCCTGGAATATTATTTGAAAGGCAACGCTCCAAGGACCTGCAGCTTCTCTAACATGTGGTTCTCCATGGGAATTCAAGCCATTGGATACAATAAGTACGTTTGCGTTTTCAGGAATTGGAGCAGTGTAAATGCCTCTCTCTGTATCAACACTATCACCACTCTCACCTTTACCTCCCTTGCGAGATTGGAAACAGCCATGAATGGAGAGTGAAGATCCTAGCTAGGAAATTTAGTTGAGAACATTACCAAATTATATAAGAAATAAGGAACACTACAATGAAAAAGGAAGTTGCGGTGAATGACATAAATTCTCCGATCAGTTATATAAGGGCGAAGTGATAAATAGTCTGCCTTGCAGGAGGAACACTACAATTTAACTTTTACTCTCTTCGTGAAAATGATAACATCTAAAGATAATCAATATCATATCCAGACATGAATAATAAAGATGGTCATAGATTAATAACATACCCCAAAGTAGACTGTAACTAAGGTGAATGTCCACCTGTTGAGTAAAAAAAAAAAGAACAACGAAAAGCAAAAGATAAGATCGATCATATTTCAATCAATATAATAGCTTGTTAACATAACATTAGTCAAAAGTGAATTTTATTTGACATTGTTATCTTTAGATTTTGAAGAGCTTCTTAGTTACTGTCTGAGCTGTTGAGGCTTCTAGTGAGACTGTTTGTGTACTAAAGGGAAAAAATTAACAGTATAGCACTTCAACACTATGAGGAGATATCACAAGAAATTGAAGGTAAACATTTTAAGTGTTGGTCAGGAAACTGTCGCTAGTTTTTGAGCAATGAGTGGATCCATAAAAAATTAATCAGGCATTAAACATGACTTCATCAAAAATTACTCAGTCTCCACAACATCCACATTCAAAAAAGTGGTCGTCGCCGAAAAAGGATGCAGCCTATCTCCAACGGATTCAACTGACCTAGTGTTTTGACCCGTGAAGCATAGATATATATGTTAAAAAACAAAACTACAACTTAAACAAATACTAAAGTCTAAACCTGTAATTTTAAAAAGTACATCGTGTTCAGTCTAAGAACCTTAAAGGTTGAACATATCAAGTTTAAATCATAGATATCTGCCTATCATACAGTAAAGGCAAAACCTAGTAATGCCAAGATGAAATGTGGAGCAAAAGAATATGGAGAAAATCCTTACTGAGTATAGAAATAAAGTATGCGTACGCCATGAAGCACTACATCTGCAATGAGCAAAGAGAGAAGCACGGCGAAAGCAATTAGTCTATAAGCAAGCAGCCAATTCGGATGGATTGCTTTGTAACATGTCTTCCAAACATCATCTTTGTACAAAATCCCTGCTCTCGTTTGCCCGTTCTCTCTTTGCTGGTTTCTTTTCGACTTTGAAGAACATTCTTCATACTTCCATATTATAAGAATTGAAACCACCATAGCTGCTAATATCCATATTGCACAGAGTAAGAATCTCCAGTTCAACCAATAACTTGGAGTTGTTGTATCTGTTGTCATAGGTGGCCAAGTATGACTTGAAGACCCTGCTAAAAAGCTCATTGTAACTGCTGTTATCAAAAGTAAATCTTTGCCCGTGTAAAATTTGTACAATTTTTGTATATAACATACAGAATGTGTGTGTGTATATATATACACAAAAAATATAAAAAATTTATACATTTTTTCGGGCTATTATTTTTACAGGGGCTATACAGTGTCATTTTTCCTAAATCTCATCTTTGTGAGAACATTAATTGGTCACGAAATAAAATGATAAGTAATCTACTATCATAGGTTAAACACTTAAAGTACAGTATAAAAACAATCTTTACACCGCCAATATTTATATCTTAAATCCTTTGATTATTTATTTATCTTTCTAATTAAGTTGTGCACCTTACTTTGAAACTATGCAACTAGCAATTCACTAGAATTTGAAAAAACAAGACGAAACGTGATATTTCAAATTGTAGAAATCATATTACTCTTGAAATGCAATCTTCCATTCCCGTTTTCTGCTCAATAATAGGAAAGTACTTTTACTTTCAAACTTTAAAAAGGAACTCTTTATGAACTTAGGTACTATTTAGGAATTTTCTCAGTATTCACTGAAACAAATTGAATATATATATATGGAAGAACGTTATATTACCATAATCAGGATATTCTATTACCTTGAACTTAATTAGACTCTAAGCCATACACTCTACATAATTTATTCTCCTAGCTCAAGGAGGCTCGAATATATTCTTCATATTGGTTTTTAAAAATATTAAATTTTGATCACAAATTAGACATATTATTGGTGATTCAACACTATAATAAAAAGGAAAACCAAAAGCATTTTTCAAGATTCGTAAAAGCATAATATTAGACAGAATCCTCTTTAGAAAATTAATAAAGATGCTCTTCCCAAAGAGCACACTCCTTCTCATTCTCACCAATTCCACATAAAAAGTAAAAAAATAAGCAATTAATCAAGCATTAAGATGAACAAGAGACAGTAAACTTACCCAGAAAAATTCCTCCAAGATTCAATAAGAAGCCGTCATTGATTTACTTTCTTGAGCTAAAAATGTTTCTGTTTCTTTGTGTTTTAATGAAAGACATGAAACCAAATAGGGGAATGTGCGTGGTTTCAACTGGTTAGTTGAGGATTAAAGTAAGGGGTCCAGTGAAAGTGTGACAAAAAAGATAAACATTTTTTAGGATAGAGAATGAAATTGAAATGAGAAGAGCAGAACCACATAAAACTTCCACGTGGATGTCAATATGGACAATAAGAAACCAAATATTAAACCATTTATGAATGTAATTTCCGTTCCCTACGTCTACTCTTTCTTTACTTATAAGCTACTCGGTCAAATAATAGGAGTAGAAAAATAGAATGTGGGGATAGTATTAGAATGCCAAAGGAAATACAAATCTCAATCAGCTGGAAGCATCGGTTATTGATAGTTTTCGTAACAATGAAGATAGTGCATTTGATACGGCGGAATTATTTTTCCAAATATATTGAAATAATGGGTGTGTTTGGTGTGAAATAAAATATTTTTCGGAAAATGTTTTTCAATTTTGCCCATATTTGGTTGGTTTAAATGTTTTGGAAAACGTTTTCCTCGTCAACTCATTTTCCTCCAATTGGAGGCAAATATTTTCCCTATCAAGGAAAGGGAAAACATTTTGCAAAACTCTTTTCCAACCTTCCTCCCATTCCCCATTCCCACCAACCCATCCCCACGCCCCTACCCTACCCCAATCCACCCTCCCCAACCCCACCCCACCCTCGCCCCACCCCATCCAACCTCCACCCCTACCCCCACCTTAACAGGAATCTTTACACAAATAGCTGGTTACATTCATTGTTTACTTTTTCTAGCCATATACATAGATTATACATTATTTATACACATATAATACATAAATTATGCATATATTATAACTCTACCAGCTATTTTTAGTGTAAGTGGTTGGTTGGGCGGCTACTTGGGTTAATTCTTCATATTAATAATAGTACTTTCTTTTTATGTTATAGATAGAGTATTTTTTTTTCTATTTCAACATGTGTGTATTTTCTTTTCGCGATATAACAAAAGTTTTTTTTTCATTTTAACAAAAAAAACACTTTCTTTTCATTTCATGATGTAGAAAAAATAGTTTCTTTCATTTTAACAAAATGATGTAATAAAACGTATTTTTTTATTTCAACAAAAAAGTGTTTTCTTTTCATGATGTAGAAAAGTTTTTTTCTTTCATTTCAACAAAATGAGTAGTTTCTTTTCATGATGCAGAAAAAGTATTTTCTTTCATTTCAATAAAATGAGTACTTTATTTTCATGTTGTACAAATAGTACTTTCTTTTTTAACCAAACAAAGAGTATTTCTTTTAGTTATGGAGCACAAAGTTCAACGTTGTTTTTGCGTAAAAAAGTAAAGCAACACATTAGTTCCTTTTGGGTTTGTATGAATTTTTAGAAGAATAATTAATTTTTTTAAGAAAACAGAGTCATGAAATGTTGGGTATTTTGGGGGGAGGGGAGAGGGGAAGGGGTAGAGGAGAGCACATAAAACATAGTGTGATGACCCGATAATTCATCTTATGAATTAAAATCAAATTCTGTGTTCCGGGGCCTTAAAAATCTCATTTCATCCCTCCTCAGTTTGTATGAGCAATCCGGGCGTATTTTCGGAAAGCTTTTACGTTGAAAGTTGATAAAAAATAACGATTTTTGCTTAAAACTTCATATGAGTTGACTTCGGTCAATATTTTTGGTAAACAGACCCGGATTCTTGTTTTGACAGTCCCGTTGGGTCAGTGTCAAAATATGGAGTGTGGGCGTATGCCCGAAATCAGAATCGGAATCGGAGGTCTCTAACTCGAGCTATGAATTTTTGTTGAATATTGAGAGTTTGAAAATTTAATGGGTTTTAAGAAATTTTAATGTTTGATCTTGTTGGTATCGGGTCCGTATTTTGGTTCCGAAGCCCGGTACAGGTTCAATATAATAATTAAAACTTGTCTGTGAAATTTGATGAAAAATAAAATTGGTTTGACGTGATTCGGACGTCCGGTTGAGAAAATAAAAATTTCAAAGTGTTCTTGAAAATTTTATTCGATTTGGTGCTAAATTCGTGGTTCTAGGTGTTATTTTTGCGATTTGATCGCGCAACCAAGTTCGTATGATGTTTTAAGACTTGTGTGCATGTTTGGTTTGGAGCCCCGAGGGCTCGGGTGAGTTTCGAATAGGCTACGGAGTGATTTGAACTTGGAAAATTTGCTGGTATAACTGAGCAGGTTGCAGGCCTCTAACTCGCATTTGGGAGATCAGGCATCGCAGTTGCGACCTCTGAGGGGTCCGCATTTGCGAGAAAATTCTCGCATTTGCGAAGAGAACCTGGGCCAGCAGAGTTCCCAATTGCGAACTTCCCTTCGCATTTGCGAAGGAAATCTGGGAATGGCAGGGATCGCATTTGCGATCAATTGGTCGCAATTCTTTGCATTTGCGATGAAAGCATGAACGTGGAGACCTTCGCATTTGCGATAGGTTCTTCGTATTTGCGGGGCTCGCATTTCCGAACCCCAGGTCACGAATGCGACACCTACAATTGATCAAAATGACTTTTGGACGGGATTTTCATCCATTCTTCAAATTTTCGAAACATAACACACAAGAGGCGATTTTGCAAAGACTTCTTCTTCCCCAAATCATAGGTAAGTGATTCTTATCTAGTATCTTTCACTTGATTTTAGAATATTTCAACCTAGAATCTAAGGTTTTCATGGTGGAATTTGGGATTTTGGGGTAGAAATTAGGGATTTCGAAATTTGGGGATTTAGACCTCAAATTGAGGTCGGATTCCAAAACCAATTATATATCCGGACTCGGGGGTGAATGGATAATCAGATTTTGGTCCGAATTTCGGGTTTGGACCAAGCGGCCATTGACTTTTGTTGACTTTTTCAATGATGACCTAAATGAGTCCTTTGTTATCGTGGGTGATTCCTAAACGTTTGGTTGGTAATTTGCTAGACATTGTTAGTTCGGAGGCGTGTTTGAAAGGAAAAGGTGTGATTGAGTTTTGAGTGGCCTTTGGTTCGAGGTAAGTGGCTTGCCTAACTTTGTGTAGGGGAACTCCCCTTAGGATTTGGTATTGTTTGATATATGAGCGCGATATACGTGAGGTGACGAGTGCGTACACGGGCTATTTGTTGCAAAACTCTGTTTTCATTAAGCAAATATCTATTTTCCTTTAATTGAGCAACACTAGCATATGTAACTATCCTGTTTAGTTTAAGAAAGCATGCCTACGTGCCTTAACTGCCTTAACTATTATGCAGCATGTTTTAGTGAAATTTCCTGTTCTTCCTTGACTCAGACTTAGCCTAAATTGCGATTTTCTTGTTGTAACTGTTATCTCTGTTGGTTGAGCTGTATATTTACATTGGGACTACGGAATGGTATTTCGGGAGATCCCCCTGTACATTTACGTTTGGGACTACGGGATGGTATCCCAGGAGATCCCCTATTGCTATTACTGCGTTCTGAGCTGTTGGTTCTCATTGATTTCTATTCCTGTTAGTTTTCCGTATTTAGATTTTACTGTAGTACTCTTTCTATCTTATTTCATTATATTTATACCAGTAGGGCCCTGACCTGATCTTGTCACTACTCGACCGAGGTTAGGCTTGACACTTATGGATATCGTTGTGGTGTACTCATGCCCTTTCCTGCATATGTTTTCCGTGTGCAGATCCAGGTACTAGCTATCAGCCTCGAGTCTAGCTGTGTGGTTGCTGCTTCAGGAGACTTCAAGGTACATGTTCCCGCATCCGCAGACCTCGGAGTCCCCTTCTATCCCCTATGTACATTTTCTTCCTTTCCATAGAATGATGTATAGAATAGTTAGAATTTCTTAGACGCTTGTGACATTGCAACATTTCGGTTTTTAGGAAAGATGATTATTGTATATGCCGAGTGGCTCCGTTTCTGCTTATTAATTATATTTGTCAATTGTTATCCTTGTGTTTCATTTCATTTCCGCAATATTAGGCTTACCTAGTCGTAGAGACTAGGTGCCGTCACAACAGTTCACGGAGGGAGAAATTGGGTCGTGACAAGTTGGTATCAGAGCTCTAGGTTCATAGGAGTCGTGTGTCACAAACCGGTTTATTAGAGTCTCGCGGATCGGTACGGAGACGTCGGTACTTATCTTCAGGAGACTATGGAACCGTTAGGAAAATTCTACTTCATTTGATTCCTTGTCGTACGAGATTATTGACTTCGAAATTCTAAACTTCTGTCTTCTATTCTCTCGCAGATGGTGAGGACACGCGCTACCGGAGATGACCAGGCACCCGCGCCCACTGCTGGAGCCGCCCGAGGCCGAGGATGTGCATGTGGTGCAGCCAGAGCACCCGCGTGAGCTGCTGCAGAGGAGCTACCTGTAGCTCCAGTCATAACACATGCACCTGATACGCCTACTACTACTACTACTACTACTACTCCAGCTCTCCAGGAGACCCTTGCACAGTTCATGAGCATGTACATCACTCCAGCTCAGGCAGGGTTAATTCCCCTTGCTGCAGCCACATCTCAGGCTAGGGGAAGAGTACAGACTACCGCCGCCCGCACTCTCGAGCAGCGGGTTCAGGTTCATCAGATCCCAGAGCTTATACCGGTACCGCTTGTAGCCCCAGTTCAGCCGGGGGTAGGGCAACGGCTTCATAGGTGGAACAACGGAGGCTTGAGAGGTACAAGAAGTACGATTCTCCTACATTCAGTGGTCTAGCATTAGAGGATGCTCAGGGATTTCTGGAGGAGTGCCACCGTATCATCCGCACTATGGGCATAGCGGAGTCGAGTGGGGTTTCTTTCACTACCTTCCAGCTTTGAGGGGCAGCCTATCAGTAGTGGCGTACTTATGAGTTGGACAGTCCGGCTGAGGCAGCATCCCTTACATGGACTCAGTTATCGGACATGTTTTTATGAGAGTATGTCCCTCAGAGCCTTAGGGAGGCATGGCAAGCGGAGTTTGAGCAGTTACGCCAGGGTAGTATGAGTGTTTCAAAGTATGTCGTCCGTTTCAGTGACTTGGCTAGACATGCACCGGCCTTGGTTTCTACAGTTCGAGAGAGGGTTCGCCGGTTTATTGAGGGGCTCATTCCCAATATCAGGACTAGCATGTCCCAGCAGTTAGAGATAGATATTGCATATCAGCAGGTGATAAGTATTGCTAGGAGAGTAGAGG